AAAAAAAAAAAAAAAGTTACTAATACAACGAATACCTGTGGCACTTTAGGAATCTACTGTGTGTCAGTGCCTGTTAAGCAATTTGTATGTTTTAGCTCCGATCTCACAGTAACCCCTTGAGTTGGATATTATTAGCCCAAGTTTATAGATGAACAGTCACATGGGGAGAAGTGGCTGAGCCATTATCATGTGTTTTTGTCATATGACTTCTGAAATTTCTAAAAGTTTCTGTCTGGAATGTCGTAGCTCTGTGTGTTATTTTTGTTTTTGCAGAAAGGGCCAAGTAAAACACCTGTAGCTGCCATCTGCCTGACCAGCTTTGTGACCATGGCCTTTGTCCTTGTGGGTCAGGTGAATGTTCTGGCCCCCATTGTCACCATCAACTTCATGCTGACGTATGTCGCCGTGGACTACTCTTACTTCTCCCTGTCCATGGATCCCTGCAGCACTCCCCAGATGCCTGAGCCAGAGCTCAGGGAAGACCTGGAAGGTTTCCACCGTCCTGAGCACCTGCCCTCGGAGAAAGCTCCCAGCTATGGCTCTGATGGCCCTGCCCAAAGTGTCTCTGAGGGCACTCTTCTGGAATTTACCAAGGACATGGATCAGCTCCTCCAGCTAACCAGGATGCTTGAGAGTAGCCAACCCAGACAAGGAGAAGGTAACAGGATCCCGGGGAGTCAGAAGAGGAAGAGCAAGAAGGCCATCAAGCAAACCCTGCAAGATAGCTTCCTCTTGGACCTTAAGTCCCCTCCTTTCTTTCCTACCTTGGACTCTGGCAGGTTGCCCACTGCCTCCTGGGAGGGGCAGGAGCCCTACTGGAATGAGCAGACTTCCAGGAGTGAAGGGACTCAGCCTGGAGAAACATATGAGCAACTTGTCCCTGAGCTGTGTGACCAATCTGGGCCAAGTGGAGAAGGTAAGGGCTTTGGAATCACACTGGGGTCTGTTTTGAGGTGACCCTCACCTACCCAGTTATCACGATACAGTTATAGCTAGGTTTAAAATCTTGTTAATTTTGTTCAATATTTATTTTATTTATTTATTTTTTTTGAGTTGGAGCCTCAGTCTGTCGCCCAGACTGGAGTGCAGTGGCCACTCCCGG